GTTTTGGAGCCTGTCCTGGAACTAGCCTCTGCCTCCCGAGTGCTGGGATTAAAAGCGTGTGCCACCACCGCCTGGCTGATCTTCAGCATTAACCCCTCTGTCTGACTCTGGGTTTTTATTATTACCAATTAGAATTCAATACAGTCTCTTATTATCATACTCACCAAAATAGCAATTCCTGCCTATTTCACATTTTTAACACTTGGAGACAAAAGACTGAATTTAAAGACAAGGTTTCTAAAATTTTTTAAATGCAATATAATAAAGCTACAATAGGAGTAAAAAATTGCCCCAAAGACCAGCTTCACTGTTTTTCGTTTTCTTTTACATTCCTTTAGAAACTGCCAGTCTAAACTGTACAAGAAACTATGTAGGAATGCACAACACATAAAACAAGGAGCAAGGACTAGTCATTGCCTTACCTCTTCCAGATAGACACATGAGGGATATATTCTGTTCGTTAATTTCCAACACTCAGTCTGCTGCCAGTCCAGCACTGTAGGTTTCTGGTCAAGGTGAGCCCACGCAATTCTCCGAGTACCAAAAACAATAGACACGATGCTATTAACTTCCTAAAGGAAAAGGGTAGTTTGATTACAGTGTAAATATCTTACATCTATAAACAATAGACACAATACTATTAACTTCCTAAAGGAATACAAACAAAAACAAAACAACTCAGTTTAGGCGATCTCTCTGAGTTCAAGGCCAATCTGGTCTACACAGTGAGGTGTAGGACAGCCATGGCTACATAGAGAAACCCTGTCTCAGAAAAAAAAATTGTTGTGTGTGTATATGCTCGCATGCTCTCCGGGATGCCTTAGCTTCCCCCATGGGCTGTGTTCTCTAAAATGAAAGGAACCCTTTCCAAGTTGCTTTTGGTCATGGTGTTTTAGCACAGCAACAGAAAGCAAAGTAAGACACTCTGCTTCAAAAACAAAACAAGGCTGGACCAGCAAGATTGCTTGGTGGGTAAAGACGACCGCCACCAAGTCTGACATCCTTAGTTGGAGTCTTATAATCCACATGGTAGATCCAGTCAGCTGACTCTCCCAAGTTGTCCTCGACTTCACTATGGAAGGGATACACAAATAAAAATGCAATTAAATTTTTAAAAACAGATCACAAGATAGCAGCACAGGAGGAACACCGCCTGAAGTTCTCCTTGACACACATGTACTCTGCCATATATACACACGCATACATAAAAATTACACAGGGTGGGGCCTGGAGAGATGGCCCAGAACACTGGCTGCTGTTCCAGAGGTCCTGAGTTCAATTCCCAGCAACCACATGGTGGCTCACAACCATATGTAACGAGTCCTGGTGCCCTCTTCTGGGCACACATGCAGGCAGAACACTACCTAATAAATAAATATTACAAAAAAAAAACAACAACAACAACAAACTTAAACAGGGTGGTAAGACAACTTAGTGGAAAAAGTCAATAACCTGAGTTCAATCTCGGGAACCCATATGGTGGAAGGAAAAACACTAATTCATTCAAATTATTGTCTAACCTTCCACACACATGCTCTGAAGCATCCATACACACCAGAAAAAAACACAGCAGAAAAAAATATATATATAATGAAATAAAGACCTGGCTTACTGTGCATGGACAATACTATACCACCTGCTCAGAGCCCTTCTCTAGACAACAGATTGTTAGTTTTTAGTTGGTTTGTTTTGGTATGTGGGTGTTTAGTGCTCTGGGTGTGGTGTATGTACATGGGTATTGTGCGGGGTATGTGTGTGTGAAGGTGAGTGCCACTGCACTCAGCTCAATACGTAATTTTAAATTATGCCACAAAGACTGCCACAATGCTCCAGAGGCACTCCTTGGCCAACCCATCTTCGCAGCTTAATTTCCCAATGTACCTTCCTAATACAGTCGCACACCTGCCTAACCGTCCTCCTATAAACCTTGTATAACAGCAAATCTGTTAATCCCTGCACGAGAGAGGCGGTGCACAAGTTTGTGTTTGGAGGATCATCAAAAGTTTGAGGCCAACCCAGTTAACAGAGCTCAAAACCAGTCTAAACAACAGAATAAGACCCTATCTCGCAATATAAATAAATAAATAAAATAAAAAATAGCAGGGCAGTGGTGGCTCATACCTTTAATCCCAGCACCCAGAAGGCAGTGGCAGGCGGACCATGATCTTGAGGGGCTACACAGAGGAATACTGTCTCAAAGAATATTAATAATAAAAATAGGGGCCAGTGCCAGGCCATGGTGGCAACCTGTCTTTAATGCCAGCACTCGGGAGGCAGAGGCAGGCAGATCTCTGTTAGTTTCAGGCCAGCCTGGTCTACAGAGTGACTTCAAGGACAGCCAGGGCTATACAGAGAAACCCTGTCTCAAAAATCAAAACAAAACAACCCGGTGGGAGAGAGGGGGGTAGGAAGATCCACCGAGGCTGATAACCTGAGTTCTGTCTGGGACTCAAACATGTCTTACGGCATGAGCACCCATACACGTACATTATACACACCCACACATAAACAATTACAAAGGAAATTAAAATTAACCCAACCATGTATACACATACTTCTTGTTATTCATGTTTTCTGTCTGAATGCCCTCTTCTTCCCACCTGCCTAATTTTCTCTCTTCCAAATTGAGTTCTCAGTAAACTTCCCCCAAGTTCTACCTCACAGCGTTCCCTCCGACTTGCTTCCTGTCTGCACCTTTCGTTTTGTGCGACAGACCTTCTATTAGTATGAGTACTCTATTCCTAACTAAACCGAAAGGATCTTTTTCTGCGCCAGTAAAACAGTTCAGAGGCTTAAAGCACTCACACCCAATCCTGACAAGGACCCATACGGCAGAAGGAAAGCACAGACACTTGAAAGGTGTCCTCTG